CTGAGACAATGGAACAAAAGGAGCTAATAATAAATTTCTATCATGCCTTCTGCTGGTCTTCTACAGAGTATAAACAACACAGGCACAAATCTATCTATAGGCAACTCTCCCAGGAAGCAGGTCCTTCAAGAGGCATAAGTGGCTAAGAAGGAGAGGAAAGGGGCAGTCTTCCTGGATGAGGTGGCATGGAGGACAGAATGAATGGAACATGCAATACAATGAGCAACATTTAAGAATTGGGGTAGAAAGGGACCCAGAGGTCATGAGGTCCAACCACCTGTCCCTATGCTTAAATCAAAATCAAAACCCATTCTATGCTGGTCCAGTCTATTTGCCTCACTCCAGGGATGAGCTACAACCACACTGAAGGGACCAATTTCCTCTCTGCCAACAGCCCAGAGTTAGGAGATGGAGATGTTCTTGCTCAAAGTTGAGGATAGGACAGGCCATCTCGACTATCAGGATGATCAAATGCAAACCTCTAAGGGAAAGAGAGATTGTGGAATTACCATACAGGGAAAATGACTATGGTCTTGGGTGGCTTTGGTTGTCATCTGCCATGGGCAAGAAATAGTCCGGATAACCAGATGACCTCCTGGCTACACCAGCTTTGTGTCCCACATATGACATACATGCTGTGAGTTACTGCTTTCAAACTCAAGTTGAGATTCAACTCCTGCTAAGGATCCACTGCACATCCATGAGAGCAGACATAATGCTGAGGGCAGAGCAATGGATGGAGGGAGAGAGAGGGACCCTATTCTCTCCATCCCACAGCCAATGCCCCAACTAAGGCCCTTCTTGCCTCTTCTATAGTATTCTATGACAATCTCTAACTGACTCCAGCAGTCATCCCTTTTCCACTCCAAGCCATTCCCCACCACTCCAGATGAATACCTATGGCACTACTCCCTAGCTAAAACTCCAACCACAGCTCCCTATTGCTAGTAAGATTCAATCCCATCAATCCTCCAGCATGCAAAACCCTCAGTTACCTTCTCTCTAGACACAGAGAAAATATCTGATGTTTACCAATGTTTGTCTTTTGCTTTTCCATCTTCCTTTCTTTGCTCAAATAATGCCCTCTGTCACAGTCACTCCTCCAGATCGCCACATACCCAAATTCAGTTTTCAAGGTGACACCTTTGCCAGTCACCCATTAAGAAGTAACCCCTCTTTCCTCTGGCTCTCGTATGGAAGTTAGCATTTTAAATCTTCATAATTACTTATATTCTAAGGAAACAAATCTCGTAGACCCATTCTGGAAGACAGCAACATTGCCACTCACATTTGTCTGAACAGTATAACAAAGAATGATTCCTGGGTCTTAGGTCACCCTCTGTTACTCATTGACTACGAGTTTGTTCCCGTCTAGGGGTCTTGGGTTCATTGTCTCTGTTCAACAAAGAATTGTAGAACAGGACACAAAGATAGCAAGCAAACAGATTTATTGCAAAAGCGTCAGGAACAGGCTTCTCCAAAGAGGAGGGGCTCCAGAGCCGGGCATCTGGTGAGGAAGTTTTGGCTTATTCTTTTTAGGACCCCTGGAATTTCCTGCTTTTCTGATCCCTCCCCTCTCCACGCTCTCCTCACTGTTGTTCATTGGTATCCCCTGTGTTTACACATCTATTTTAGTTTTTCTATTGGATTCCCCCACTTAGGAGCATGAGTACAAAAGAGTCTGTCTAATTAGGTCCCCTGCTTGTGTCCATGAACACTTTCATCCAACAGAAAGTTCACCTCATTGGAAGACCCTCTCTGTGCTCCTTTAGTCTGAACCTGCCCCTGACTTCCTTACTTATCACCTTGCCCTGGTTGCCTGTTCCCTTCTACATCTCCCTCGTGTTATCAACTAAGTTCTAATTGAAAGCCTCAGTTTTCCTATATGTAAAATGGGGCTAAGAATATCTTCCCAGAGTTATCTGTGCATCCAAAAGTCCATGCACAGGGTGCTACTTGCCAAGCCAAAAAAGGTGAAACAACAAAAGAAAGTTTAGGTAAAATGTGTGAAATGGGATAGAAAGAACTGAAATAGGGATGTCACTGCTCCCTCATTTAGAATCTAGGTGAACTTCAATGCCTTCCCCAAACCAGCAACCTAGAAGGTGGGACTGGGACCAAAGCAGGGGCTAGGAGTCTCACTTTATCTCCCTTCTGGACACCCTCATCCCCCTGCTCATCCCTTAGAGAGATGCTGGACCCCCACCTCCTACCTCTACCTCCATCCCTGAAACCCAGAGGTGGTATTCCCCACCTCAGCACCTCATCACCCCTCTCCTCCACTCACCCCCCCACAAGTTCCAGGCTTCGCCTGTCCCCCTACTAGGGGCCTTGGGCTCTCCGGGCAGCTCCACCAAGGTGCTTACTCTCCTGGCCAAGCAGTGCAGACCCTAAAATTACCCCTCCATCTGCTAATTGCTCACTGCTATCTCTCCCTCTCTGTAGGAATATTATTGCCAGCAATTAGCACAAAGATCCTTTCCCACTCTAGTTAAGATCCCGAGCTGCAGTTAAATGCTCCCAAATCCCATTTAAATGATTTCAAATGCAATTCATTCTGGCTCATTAAATAATTCCATGGACGCCTTTCTTTGCCTTCATCACCTTAGAAACCTCTTTTTTCCAGAAAGAGAGAGAGAGAATGGCGGGGGGGGGGGGGCAGTGGTGGGGTTAGAGAGGAAGAGAATAACCTGGGCTGGAAGCAGAAGATTTTCTGCCCTGGCCTCTCCAGCTACTTGCTTTGCATTTCACTCCCTCCCCCTGGCTCCCTCCCACCCGGGCTCCCTGCTCCTGCTCTCTCCCTCCATCTTCTTCTCTCGGAAATGACTTCACCTGACAGCTATGGATTTAGAGCTTTTTTGCCAATTACTTATGCCCAGTGAGAAAATAGGTTTTTAATGTCTGTCCTTGTTCCGCCCAACCTGGCTACCTCACCCTGAAGTGATCCCACAGCCCTCTGCTCCCTGAGGCTCCTGTGCCCATTGCCCATGCTGCCCAGGCTAGGGAGGACAAGGGAGGACAGCTGGAAGGGGCAGGGGAGTCTCTGTTCTGAGGGCCAGCATCCTGGCTACAGAGGGTGTATCAGCCTGCTTTGGCTGTGAGATCTGATCCCCCTCCTAGCCTGGTTCAACACACATGCATTCATTCTCCATCAACTTCTAAGATTTATGGAGCACTACTATGTGACAAGCATCTGGTAAGCACTTTGCATGTATTAATATACAAAATCCTTGACGCAATCCAGGAAGATAGAACCTATTAATGCTATTATTTTATCATTTTTACAGAGAGAAAAATTAAGGCTCTAGAGAAGCTCAATATGTCACCCAAAATAACACAGCTAGCACATGCTTCAGCTGGGATTTGAACCTGGACACCACCATCCAAAACTTGTAGATCTGCATGGCAACTTCCAGGCACTGCCTTGTGCTTGGTTGTCTTCTCAGCAGGCCAAGGTCCCTACCATGCCACAAGTCACATTCTACCTGGGAAACAAACACTTCAACTAGTTTTTCTAGAACACAGCTCATGGGTTGGTGGGCTGTGACCAAGGTCCATGCAAAGTGCTGCCAGAACCAGGGAGCAGAGCCATTCGTTCTACCTGGGGAGGGAGGAGGCAGGTTGGGAGAGGCCACGAGAAGACACAGCACACACCAAGATTTGAAGACTTGGGAGGAAATAATCCAATGAAGGAGGGAGGGGAAGGGCATTTCTGGGAGAGGAAACACCCTGAACAAAGGCTTGGAGGCTTGAAAGGGCCTGGTGTGCATAGGTAGCATCTGCCCAGGAAGACATAAGCCCCGAGTGCGGCAGAAGATTTGTTGCATATCTATTACTTTAGACCAGTGACTTTTAATGGGGGCAATTTGCCTTCCAGCAGACTTGGGACAATGGCTGCAATGGCTGTCACACTAGGTGGTGGAGGTGCTACCAGTGTCTAGTAGGTAGAAGCCCGGGATGCTGACAGACATCCTAACATGAATGCACAGGACAGCCCCACAAGCAGGAGTTACTAGTCCCTAACTCTCGGCAGAACCGAGGTGGAGGAACCTGGTCCAGAGAAGCAATGGTGCTATGGCATTAGAAGGAAAGCAATTCTAGGTGAAAAAATAGGGGGTTCACGGAGATAGGACTTTGAGAAGCTCATAAAAATGGGCAAGGAAGTAGAGACTGAGGAAAAGGTGTCCCGCACAAAGGAGAGAGCAAGACCTAGAAGGTAGAGAGTGAGGGGCCATTTAAGGACCTGTGCAGTTTGGCTGTGCTGAGCTCATGAGAAGGGAGTGAGAGGAATGGGCTGAAAGAGTGGTTTCAGATTTAGAATTAGAATGATTCTGTAAGGCAATGGGGAGCCACAGAAGGGCTTGGAGCACCAAGAGACAGGATTGAAGATGCACTTTAATTAAATAGGCTTTAATTAATTAATCAGGCAGCAGTGGGTAGGGGCTGGAGGAGTGGAGCCCCAGTAGGAGGCCATTTCCATGTTCATGGCAGGAGTCTCAGCCAAACTAAGCTCTATAGTTCACTAACTTGGGAATTTACCCTATGCCACACCCAGTGCCAAGCATAGAATATAAGATGAGCCATAGCTGACCTTAGTTTTACCCAACAGTTTTGTGTCTCCCTGGGAGACACAAAAGCCACACGTTTGTCAATTAATTTAAAATGTAAATGTAATTTGATATTTCAATTTGTTAAAACAAGTACACGTTGCTTTTGTAATTAAAAATATAAAAATTTTTTAGAAAAATAGAAACCAAGAATTATGCATGAAGATTTCATTTCAGTATTTTCTAGAATAGCAATGTGTTCGCATCAGCAGATCCCCAACTACATGTCAGGCATTGCATTGGGTGTTTTACATGAAAACAAACAACTATTTTCTTTAATTGTGGTGGTTTTTTTTTTTTGGTTTTTTTTTTTTTGCTTTTAAAGGACTAGCATATAGTAACAGTCTGGATTAGTCTGTTTCCCATTCCTATCAAGAAATATCCACATCTAGGTACTTTATAAAGAAAAGAAGTTTATTTGGTTCAAAGTTCTGGAGATTCAAGGGCATGGTACTGGAATCAGCTTGGTTCTGGTGCGGACCTCATGGTTATTGACATCACAGTGGTGGAACTGTGTAGGAGAGGGAGAGATCACATGGTGAGACAGGAAGTCAGAGAGAGACTGGGATCACACAAGAACTACTTCAGTCCTTTTTGAGGACAGGCCTCCAACAACCTATTGACCCTACCAGGCCCCACTGCTTAAAGATCCCCCCACATCTTAATATAATCATACCGGGGACCAAACTTCCAACATATGAAACTTTGGAGGATATGCTTAAACCGCAGACCAACTATAGCACTGCCCAATAAAATATATTAAATGATTGCTCTAATGCATATCAATTAGGGTGGAAAGGAAGGGTCCCTAATTAGGACTGGGAACAAATATAGGTTTTAAAAAAAACACCATATTTGTACATCAGTGCCAGATTGTGCTGGTCTAGCCTCCAAAGTGAATCTACTTGGGCAACAGGAAGTGGGGCTAGAGCTGCTTCAATCCCTTCTGCTCAGATTAGGTTCTGGGAGCAAGATAGTGAGTTTATGGCTGGGGAATGATGACTTCAGCTGTGAATCAGGAAGAGAGACAATGAGCTGGGACCAGGAAAGGTAAGACAAACAAATGTTCTCGTAAAGCTGCAAAGTTTTATTAAAAGAATACTGTAAAACCCAAGGATGCTCTGGAACAAAGATCCTCACGGTCTCAATGGCATATAATAACAAGCACAGCTTTCTCGCTTGTGAGTTTGAGGGTCAGCTGGGGTGTCTCTACCTCACATGTCCCTCTTCCACTCAGGACCATTGAGCCAGCCAAGCACGTTTTTCTCAGGACAATGACACAATCTCAAAAGGGCAAGACAAACTTCACAAGGCATCCCAAACTCTTGCTTGCAACATGTCTGTCAGCCAACCAAACAAAGCAGAAGATGGGCCTCAGCCAAAAGTCAAGAAGCAGGGAAATTTATTTGCCCTTTTGTGGAAGGAATTGCAAAGCTGCCTAGTTATAGGCATGCATATATGCAGGGGTAGAAAATTAAGACCAATAATAGATGGAGCAGTCTAAGCACAGCAGCTACCTGCTATTTCCTATTCCCATGTATCAAATTTGCTTAAAATGGGCTCCGTAAAACAGAGAGGGGTTCTTTGTGATTGGTGAATGCTCTTTCCCCTGAGATTCTGAATGGGAGTTGGAGAACCAAGGCATAGAAAAAGAACAGTGGCCTACAAACTGGAAGACTTGGATCTTTTCTCTGTTCTTGATGCTCAAGCTATTGAGCTTCTCCTTTATCTGAAGGACATAACCTTCAATTTCATCTTAACCCCTTGACACTATCAACCACATTTGTCCTTCCTGAAACTGTTTTGTCTCATTTCAGAACATCATGCATCTTTTTCATCTTGCCTGCCCAACCCTGAAGTAGTTTCTTCTCCATTTCCTCTTAAGATTTCTGCCACCTGCCCCAGAAATACTGGTGTCCTTCAGAATTCTGCTTTAAACTTCATTTTTCAACTCTACGCTGTGATTGATTTTCATGGTACCTATAAACTCCAATAAAATTATTTAAATTTTTCTATTTGCTTCTCTTTGTAGATTTCTAGATTGCAGGTCTGTGGGTTTCCTAAGGTCTATAAAAGGGCACATGATTACAGTAGGTGACAACCACAGCTTTGCACTTTCCATGGTTAATGTTCATCCTTGAGGCTTTGGCCATCATCTCTACCCTGATGGCTCCTCATCTTTTTCTCCACCCAAACCTCTTATCTTTATCTACCCAATACCCATTTTGTTACACAGGCACCTAAAAAGAAATCTATGAACAAGCTCCAAGACAGACCTCATTGTCTCCTCTCTTCATAGGTTCTTAAATTAAATGATCATATTGCCCCTTTCCCTGTACAGACTTCACAAAGTCACATCTGCTTTCTATCTTGTCACCCAATTATTTCTTAAGTCATGTCTTCCCTTCCATCCCAACTTCCCTGTGTCAGTGTAGGCCCTGTCACTTTTTATCTGAATACTGACCTATCTGGTTTCCATGGCTCTGGCTTCCCAAGTCCACTCTCCACCTTGATAGTCCATGTGTCCTCCTAAAATCAAAATAGGATTGTGTAAATCTCTTATCTAAAACACACTGAGTATTCACCAGTGCTTTTAGGGTAAAGTTCAAAGTTCTTAGGAGAGTATAGAAGCTATCATGAACTAAGCCCTGTCTACAAACCCACCCCCATCTCTCCCAACAAGCACTATGGTGACTTATTTGTAGTTTCCAAAGCACATTATGCTTCCTTCATCTCTATGAGCTGCTGCTTTGCTCTCCTCATAATATTTTTTTTCTTTGCCCAATTTTCACTCTTCCTTAAAGACTGGGCTTCAACATTATCTCCTCCAAGAAGAATTCATGAACCTGAGATTGGTGCCCCTTCTGTAGGCTCTAATAGTACCAAAGCATTGTCCCGATAAGCCTGTATGGTCCCCTGATTTATAAATATCACATAATCAGGATGGGTTTTGCCTACAAAAGCCTTATAGTATGATACATAACAGGTACTATACAAATTCTTGCTGAATCAATGGATAACTGAACAATGGATGGATGGATGGAAAGAATGCTGGTTGTATTTCTTACCTTATAACTCCTACAGAGATCAGTTTTCTATTTGCAAAATGGAAATGATAGTCTAAACATTAAATAATGCTAAACAATGTGTGGTGTTCATTCACCAAACTGAAAATTACATAATCAAAAAACATTCATCAAAACTATGTAATAACAAGGATAATGCCTGATAATGTTGGTTAAAAAAAAAGCAAGACAGAATAATTTAGATAGCGTGATTACAACTGTATAAAAGAGACAACTACACACAAACTGGAAACACATGTACCAACATTTGTCCTTGAGTGATATGACCATGGGTGACATCGCCTTCATTTTACATGCCTAAATTTTTCACGTTCTTCAAAGAGTGTGCATTACTTTTATGATGAAAAATTAAACTTTATTACCAAAAAAGAAGAAGAAAGAGGTTTCTAAGAAAAGAACCCTGCGTCCTCCTCACTTGGCAATGTGTTGAATGCCTCCCAGCTCTTTTTATTCCTTTACAAAAGCAAGTCCACCCCACTCCATCCCTCCCACTGTGCTCACAGGCAGAAATGGGCAGCCAGGTGCATGCAGTGAGGATGTCTATGAACACAGAGCCTAGAAAGAACCCTGACCCTGGTATTATGATAAGGAGGGGGAACATAACTCAGGCTCATCACTCCTCTGGATCAGAGAGTTCAGCACTAGAGAGACAAACACCTTTTCAAAAGCATGATTAGAGAGTCCTGGAACCGGTTCTTTGGGACTTCCCATTTTCAAAGTCCCAACCTCTGCATTTGCCTTTCAGGTCTCATTAGAGTAGAAGAACTACTAAATCACAGATATCATTTTGACTCACATATGAGGAACCTCCAGGAAACACCCGTTCTCAGCCACTGCTGGTGGGAGCTGAAAATGGTAGTCTTGTAAGATGTGTTTGATCAATGTCCACTTCTAAGAATTTACCCAAAAAGCCATGGATGATTAACTTGACTGTGTTAAGGGATGTTCAGACAGCTGAAAAATTATTTCTGGGTGTGTCTGTATTTCAGAAAGAGATTAACATTTGAATCAGTACCCCAAGTAAAGCAGATCCACCTTCACCAATGAGCTTGAGTACCTTCCATTGAGGACCCCAAGATAACAAAAAGATAAACTGTCTCTTTTTGTGAGCTTGAACGTCCATCTAAATCAGTCCTTTAACATTAGAGCTCTTGACTCCTGGTTCTCAAGCCTTCAGACTCACGAATGTATACCAGAAGCACCCACCTTTCCCATCTCCCAGTTGGAACTCAGTCAACTACTCTGCTTTCCTGGTTCTCTGGGTTAGTCAGCTTTTTATCACTGTGACCAAGAATACCTGACAAGAACAACTTAGAGGAGGAAGAGTTATTTGGAGCTCATGTTTTCAGAGGTTCAGTCCATGATCAGTTGACACCATTACCCTGGGCCCAAGATGAAGCACTACATCGTGGCCAAAGAGTGTTATGGAAAAGCACTGCTCCATTCATGTCAATCAGGAAGCAGAGAGGGCGGGGTTAAAAGGGCCCTTCCAGGCCACATCCCTAGTGATCAAATGCTCTAACCACCTACCTGCAGTTACCATCCAGTTAGTCCATTCAAAACAGGATGAATTGATTAGGATATATAACCTAATCATTTTGCCTCTGACCATACATATTCTAATATAAGGACTTTTGGAGAACACTTCATATCCAAACCATAACATTCTCCAACTTGCAAATGAACTATCATGGCACTTCTCAGTCTCTATAATCATGTAAACCAATTCTCATAATAAAGCTCTTCGTTTATATTTATACACATATTTATATCGATTCTGTTTCTCTGGAGAATCCTAATACATGTGGCAAAAGATAAATTCAAAGAATGCTCATCAAAGTATATATGATATTCTGCTGGGTGCGGTGGTGCACACCTGTAATCCCATCAGCTAAAGAGGCTGAGACAGGAGGATCGCGAGTTCAAAGCCAGCCTCAGCAATGGCGAGGTGCTAAGCAACTCAGTGAGATCCTGTCTCTAAACAAAATGCAAAATAGGGTTTGGGATGTGGCTCCATGGCTAAGTGCTGCTGAATTCAATCTCCATAACAAAACACACACACACACACACACACACACATAATATATATTATATCCTAAAAACTAGAAAAAAATTAATTCCAAAATAGGGATTGATTTGATTGTTATCAAGGCATTATTAAGTGGATTACCATGCACCTGTTAACATAACAAGGTAGAGGAATAACTAGTGATAGAAGATGTCAATGGAATATTGTCACAAGAAAAAGCAGACAACAAAACAGTCTTATACATATGATCCCATTTTGCAGTATATATAAACGTATCCTAAATGTAAAGAGACTGATAGGATAAACACAAAACTGTTAGTGGTTATTTCTGAGTAGTAAAATTTCAAGTGACTTTTTCCTTCTTTGGGCTCATTCTATTTTCTGCACTTTTTGCAATTAATTTAGATTGCTTTTGTAACCAGAAAAAATATTTTAAGAGCTGTTTTTGACAATCTTCCAATTTTCTTGAGCCATCTTATTTTCTAAGTTGCATGCTGTAGATTGGACATCTTTTCTTTAGCTCTACCAAGGTCCCGCTTCTTAAGGTTTAGAGAATATGTCAGAATTTGCCCAATCTCATCCACTGTAACACGGCATGAGAGATTCCCAAGGACTCCAGTCATTTCTACTTTACCAACCAATTCCCCCTTAGGAGCATATTTGCAGGTCCCTCTTCCCCCACAGGAGATAAATTCAGCAGTATGGTAAGTCAAAAAAGTGTCAGACACTCAGCTTTTAGCTGCATGGGTTTTTCTAGTTGCTTTAACTCTCTCACCCCAGATCACCATAATTCTCACGCAGGTTGTTCACTGCACATGGAACCATACAAGATGGCAGGTGGAGGTAGAAAATCAGTCCTTGCTCTGCTCACTAGATTGTGTACTTGGTGCAGTGTTCTATCCTTTAAGGCAGGGGGGATTCTCTTTAAATTCACAACAAAGTGACCATCTCTTGCCAACCTAGGAACCTACAGGGTTGAGTCTTCTCTCCCTAGGGGAGCTGTTGTTCTACAAAAGCACTATGATCTAATAGTGGTCTTGTCCCCATCGCAGTCTGCATTAAGAAACCAATATTAATTTCTCCTACCGCCCAGGTGGCATCCATGAAGATATCAGATCTATTCCCTTTGCCTATAATCCCTTATATTTCTATAGTCTTCTCCTATAACCCAGCTTGCTTTCAACCCCAAGTTCCTTTAAAACAACTAATGCCCATGGCATGACAGTGAGGTGTAGTTCAACCGTTTTCAGTCAGGACTGCATATTAGAATCACCTGAGGAGTCTCTGAAAGTCCATCTCCCTCTGCCATACCTCAGACCAATTAAACAGAATTTCTGGGATGGAACCCAGTCAAGGTTGAGGGACATTGGCTTATTATAAACAACTTGAAGTTTAAAAAGAAAATTAAAAGTAAGGGTTTGAGGCTCTGTTCCTCTGTTTATCACCACACAATCTTGAATGCATTAATTTTTTGCAACATAGTTTTTTAAATGTGCAACCACCAGATCTGTGTTTCCCAGTCAAAATTATTCTGCAAACTGGTAAATGTTTTATCACTGACCCCAGAATGAGAGAGAAAATAGACACAGCCACTAAGATCAAGGAGGCTTGGGGGCAGGGAGAATAGGCAGGGGTTACTAAGAAATTGGCTCATCAGGCCATAAAGCAGGGGCTGAGATTTATAGGACCAGACGCTCCCTGAGGCTCCTCTCACCTCAAAAAATTGGTGTTCTATACATATGTGCAAAGCTGGCAGGAAGATAAACCTCTATGCTTCTGCATGGCTCCCCAGAGGGGACTGCGAATTGTTTAAATATAATGCCATTTATTTTTCCAGATTCAGGTCATCAGGCTGAGAATTTACTGTTATTGGCCGCTCCCTCTTCACACCATGTTGAGTCCTTGTTTTCCATGTACTACACAAAATTGCCTAGTTATTACTAGTCATGTGCAAACAGTTGGCTCCACTGAGAGATCAGCAAGAGAAATCAAGTCACCCAGCCAGAGAACTACAAACCCTTCATGGATTTTTTTAAGTCAAATCTTAAACCTTTTCCCATAATCTTCAGCCTTTTCAAAGATGAGCTGCTGCCCTTTTCCCACACAGTGGGCTCTCCCATCAGGTGGTGGTCTGCAGTAGAAAGAATGCTAGGCGATACCCAAGAAGAACTGAAGTCCAGAGGGAGCTCTGTCACTTCTAATTGCTTGAAGAAGCATACCCTCCCCAAGTCTCAATTTTCGCATTTGTAAAATGGGAATGATAAAAGTTGTTCCACTTTCCTCACAAATTTTGTGAGAATCCATTGATATAATACAACTGAAAGCAATTAATAAACTCTAATATTTTAGCTACAATTTCTTGTTGGGTCTGAACAGTCTATATCTTTCCCATTCAGACTCAGTACTTCACTGAG